AATTTAATAACTAAATGCAAACTTTTAAAATGTTGTTAAGCTTGAAAAAGTATTTAAAATCCACCTAATCAAGGCAATGGACATTGTTTAAAAAACTATTTCATTGCACTTGTATAAAAGAAGAAGTAAAATATAAAATAATTTCATGGATGTATAAACCATATGTCTATAACCTTAAATACATTTACTGTAGTTTAGTGGTTATAGATCTGATATTACATTTAAATAATTAGGTATCAAGGTCCGTTTATTCCGAAATATTGTCATGTAACTTTTTAGAAAATTAAATTAGTGAGTAATTTGATGAATCTTCCCTTTGTGATATTCCAACAGTATCCACCTCTAGCGGATCCAGGATTTAATTTTGGGGGAGGACTTCAGCCCGAAACCTTTTTTTTTCATAAAAATAACGATAATTACTTTGGAAAAAAAAGGAAGAAACTAACTGCCTATATGAAATGGTGTTTAAGTGATTTCTAAAGTCCTTTTAAATGTAATTACACGAATAATAATACTTTAAAGATAATTTTTTAATATTTTTTTCCATGGTTATATTTTACCATTTTGGGGGGGCTTCAGCCTCAAAGCCTCCCTCTCCCCTCTCCCCCCATAGATCCGCCCGTGGTATCCACAACTATTTCATTGTATTTGTGTGAAAGAAGAAGTGAAATATAAAAATATTTCATAGATACGTTTATAACCTTAATTATATTGACTGTAGTTTAATAACTCTAGATCTGATATATTTAAATATTTAGGTATCTATCGTACGTTTATTTTCTAAGTAAATCAAAAAAGTGGTTAAAATCCACCGAATCAAGCCAATGCCATTGTTTAAAATATTATTTCATTGGAATTGTGTGAAAGAAAAATTGTAATTTAAAAATATTTCATAGATATGTTCATAACCTTAAATATATTTTGTGAAGTTTAATTACTCTAAAGATGATATTATATTTAAATAACAGGTATCTATTGGTGTTTTTCCAAAAATTCCATCAAGTAACCTTTTAGAAAATTAAATTAGTAAATAATTTGATGAATTTTCCCTCTGTGAAATCCTAACTTTATCCACTTACAATTTGTGTGACAACTTTTGACCTAAGCATGGGAGGCAATGAAAATCTCGTAATATCATTTTAGTAAACTTTACAATGGAAAGTAACAGTTTAATAATTAATAGCCCTACAATCGATAATCATTTATAGGTTAAATATTCTGATGTACTTTCAAATCTCTCTAGGCATATATGAGTCTTTCGGTTGACAGAATGACTAACTGCAATTTCAACATTCTTTATTATTAATTTTAGTGATATTTCTAGTGGCAAAATGTATACCATTATTCACAGTATTATAAAGGTATAAACTGAAGTTGTGTGGTTTATAAAAGCAGATAGAGGAACTAGATTTTTATTGCCTATCGTCGATATAATAAATAGACATTTGTAATTGTAATGGTCTTAATGATTTGTTATCTGTAAGCTTTAAGCTTTAGCTCTGTTTAAAATATGCTACAAAAATTTTATAATAGTCCAACATTGCCAGAAAATAATTTCTATTCAAAGTAGAGCGGTAAGTGAAAGTTGTGTGTTGCGCGCACCAGATTTTTTTTTTTTTTTTTTCTGTTGCCATTACAGACTATGTAGATCTTTTGCCTCCTTAACAAGCCTGCTCCATCTCTGCCTGTCTTGGGCTGTTTCTTTCCATTTATCTGCACGCAGATCTTTGCATCTTTGTTGATTCTATCCATCCATCTGCTTTTTGGCCTTCCATGTGGTGCCTTCTATTGGGGCATTTATTGTTACGTAGAGGCTTCCAGAGGGATTGCTACATGCCCTGCTCATCTTAATCTCCGTGCCTTCATATCATGGGATATTGATTGAACAGTTTCTGTAAGCAGTTCTTTATTATTCTTTCTTCTCCATGTGTTAGTACTGTGATCCCAGACCACCGTTCTGGTTATCATGCGGAGGATTCTTCTCTCAAATCTTTCAATATTTTTTTCTAGGGTGCTGGTAAGTGTCCAGGTCTCACAGCCATATATTATAACTGGCTTTATCATAGCAATGTACACCTTTCATTTGAGATTTTTCAGGATTTTAATATTTCTGTTTGCGCTAGTTATATGGTGGTCCATTTCTGCCCGTTGGTCATTCATTGAGGTTATTGTGGGGCAAAGGTATTTGAATTTTTCTACTCTCAGGAATGATTTTCTTCTACACACATCCAGATAAATGGAAAGAAATAGCACAAGACAGGCAGAGATAAAGCAGGCTTGTTAAGGTTGCAAAAATCGACATGGTCTGTAATGCCAACAGAAAAATATATACATATATAGTAAGTGAGTAAAAGTAAAAAACTACATAGAAAGCCTAGCTATAGTTAAAGATCTCAGTTATGAACAAAGTCTTAATACTAAGCGAAGGTTTTTATATTAAGATATTGTTTGTAAATAGTTGTTTCCAGGCGTTCTGTCATTGTTTTGCTACAAATACTTGGTTATATTTATTACACCCTAATATTCCCACCAAATCATCTCTTAAAGTATGAACTCTACAGATAAAGTCAATAGGACCTTCTTTGTAGAAAATGTATTCATCTTTTCGAATAGATACAATGTAAGTGCTGTTGAACTGCTCTTTAGCACTGATATGACTTGCGAATTTTCTATATTTTTGATTGCACTGGTATACAATTCTTAAATTCTAGTCAAATGAAATTATGGCATGTCTCTATGCATTGGGTTATACTGGGTTTACATATTGTATCTTGAATTGAAGTAAAATTATGAAGAATTTAATTAGAATTATTGAGAATGTAGTCTATTTCAAATGACAGAGAAAGGACATATCTTAGGTTCAGAATAAATCTGCAGCTGATAGTCTCCAAATTATCAGAATCCAGAACGACCACACTGAGTCAGCTACAGAAGACTAATGAATGCAAGGACCAAGCCACAAGTCAAATGGTAAAGGCGGGACTTAACCCTACCTGTTTAAGTGAGGACCGCCCAGGCGGGAAGGCATATTTCCCAGCCCCACCAATGACCCAACTCCCCACAGAGAAGGCATATATCCTGTCCGCTCCAGTGACCCAACTCTTAATGGGAAGGCATGTATCCCGTCCGCAGTAAAAGAGTTAAACAACCTTGGTCAACTATCCAAGAACAAGAAAATTTGCAGCTGATTGGGAAACCATCATATGCTACTTATTGTTTTAATGGCATAATACAGAAGTGTTTTTTGATCACCGGAGATAAAAAATGGGTTCTATGTGATAATCCAAAACTCAAAAGGCATTGGCTGTTTCAAAAGAATCACCATGAAGTACTGCTAAGCTAGGTTTAGACCCTAAAAAGGGCCTTTGAGTGTTTAGTGAAGTATTCTCGGCATGCTCATTTTGAAGTTCTGAAACCTGGACAAACTTTGAATGCAGACCTTTATTGTGAACAATTGGATCATGAAAATCAATCTTTAATTGAAAAGTGGCCAGCAATTATCAACAGGAAAGGTGTTATTCTGCAACATGAAAAGGCAAAATCACACTACATAAGACGAACCTTGGAAAAAATTAATGAATTAGGGTGGAAGGTACTGTCTCATCCATTATACTTGCCCGATGTGGCTCCATCGGATTTCCATTTGTTCAGATCATATCAATACTTTCTAAGTGGTAAAAGATTTGCAAATTTGAATGATGTCCAAAATGCCATTTCTATATATTGTGCTCAAAAACCAATGCATTTTTATCGATCCTGCATTGCAAATTTGTACACCAGATGGCATAAAGTTGTTGATAATAAGGGTGATTGTATCAATGACTAAAAATAAAAACTAGTGTGAAATTTATGTGTTTGAATTCAATGTAAGAAAATGACATTACTTTCCAGTTCCTCTGATAGATAGGACCAAATATGATTATTAAAAAAATTATTATGGGTATGGATGATTTGGTATTGATTAACTAGAACAGATCAACAAAAAAAGAATTGGCACTAATGGATTTACGCAGAAACAGATTAGGCACTTGCCAGTAACTATTTTTGAGGAGTGGAAAAAATTTAGTGAAGTCGTATTTTTAGATTAAAAGGAATTTATAAAACAACTCAATTGAGCACACATAAATATTAAAATTATCTTGTTTACTCACTTGACCTTTTATTGTACTTTATATCTCCCTCAGGTTCTTGTTTGACCTATAGGCAAAGTTATATCTTTGCTATATATTATATCAAACTAATTAATCAAGAGTGCTATATGCTAAAAATAATGAATTATATGTAAAGCAATGATTGTTTTTCAAGGTAGGGGTGGTTGGGAGGGGCGGCATTATCTAATTTATGCCGCCTGTGTTGGCAATGAAAAATCCTATGAATGATCCACTTCTTCATGGAATGGCAAAACCTTCTTTGTACATATTAATCATTTCTATATTTAAAATGTCTCTTTAGTAATGAGACTGACAAAATATAAATGTTTTGATAAAGATCCTAATTGTGAATTGGGCATTTTTCATTCTAAGTATGAAAATAATTTCAATGATTAACTACCATAGTGTCTTAAGAAGTGTTTATCACTAATAGCTGTTCCTTGGATAAGGTGATTGTGTCTTAGATCTTTATGAAAGGCTTATATGACCACTTTTATTGATAATTAATAAGCAATTGTTATAGTAAGCCAAAGGTTTCAGCTCAGATGACAATCAAAAGATTACAAGTAATGAAAATTAGCCTCATTTGTGCATTTTAAAATTAAATAATTTAAATATTACTTTAGCATTTATATCCTGCAATACAGAGGATTATTAGAGGTGAAGAAGTTGAATGGATCTAATTTAGATTGAATACACAGTATTTCTGAGAAAAATGTATTAATGAAAATTTGCTGAAGTATCATCAAAAGTTTCTCTGTATTATTATAGATTTTGAAATCAAATATATTTTTATTGAATTGTGTTCATTAATAGATTACATTGAATATTCCTTAATATAACTAATAGTTCTAGACATCCCAAATTCAGAAGATACCAGCTTCTTTTCTAAGGAATTAAGGGACATGGTCAATATTATCCAAAGGGTAATATCAGATGGTTAGTATTTGTATCTATGCTCTATATCAGGTGAATATATCACGTAAAACAGTGTTGAAATAAGAAGAAATCAGATGATTCTGGTTAATTTTTAAATTTATCAATAATTGTAATTAATCTAAGAGATTTAAAAAAAAGATTTTACTTAGAATTTTAATAATGAATTGAATTTATAAAAGCTAATTATTCCTAATGATCTTATAAGTTTTTTAATTTTTTATCAAGTTATGGTTGAAATTTTCTAATTAAGCCTTGATTATTTTTTCATTTTTAAATTATAAATATAAAAAGTTAATTTTTGAACCATATATATCTAGGTTCAATATATTTTTTTAAAGTTATTTAATGTGTGGATAAAATCTGGTAGTTTGTTAAAAGTGGTGTCGTCACTTCTTTTAATGCAATGTATCAGTTGAGCTCGGCACAAAAGTTGCTGAGTTTACACTTTTAGTCTCAGGAGTCCCCATTTGATTGCAGTTTATTCGTTTATTTTTCTAGTTTGTTATAATCTTGTTAATAGAGTACTTATAAGTTTGTTATTGAACTAAAAACTGTTGAACTAAGGTATTTAGATTGATTTTATGGATTTTATTTGTTTTTCATGATGCTGGCTTTTTTATTATTTTAATGAATTAATGAACACGTTCACATATCTATTTATTTTTTTTATATAAGTGGTTTGTGAAATCATTATTATTTAAATACTTATTTATTTAACTTATGATCTAGAAATTTATCGGTATATATCTTTAGAGTTTAGAATATGCTTATTATTCTAAAAGCTTGATATGGATAATATAAAATGCATTGCATTCAAGTGAAAATCATGATTTCTTAAACTTTTATTTCCAACTTTTTTGTTAATTGTTTTTAAATTTGTTAAACTTTAACTTAATTTTCATCTATTAATTTGTATTTTATCTTCAGAATTAATAACATTAACAAATAGGTAATGCCTAATTTAGAAAAAAAAAAATCAGATAATAAATTGCTTTTCTTGTGTTAAGCAATCTCTTTGGTAAGTCATATTGAAGAGGGTGTGGTTGTATCAGCAGCCATTTTGACTGATCTTTTCTCCAATTATTTTAGGAAGAGGTTTTCTTGTAAGTCATATAGAACTCATTTAATTACCTTAATATTTAAATTAATTAAGTTATTGAAAATATAAATATATATCCTTTGAGTAGACTTGTAATAACAAATATTTATATTAAATCTCATTTTGGTTCGTAACTCAGTGTATCTACTCGAAGTGCTGATCTCAGCTATGTTAATAATATAGTGATTAGTTTTTAATTTTCTTTTAAATATTTTTGAGTTGTCTTAACACCATGGCATTTTTGTAGGTCATAAGTTCACTGCTAACGAATCTATCCAGCTCTATCTTGAACCTGGAATCTGGTGAGTTTATTTTATAATAAAGTTCTGCATTTAGTAGTAGGGAGTATTTGATATTACATAAATATTTTTCTAATAAATACTCGTAACAAAATTATAAATTTCTAATTTAATTTCACAGATTTTTGTTCTTTGTCAATTCAAATTTCGCTCGCTACTTTTTCATTATTTGTTTTAGTGTCTTTTTAATCTTTGAAATTATTTAGTGTACTTAGTAATAACCAAAAATATACCCATTTTATAAGACAATAGTTATTGTGTATTTTCTATTCAAATCCTTTAATAATTAATTTTTAATAAAAACAGATAAAAATGTATTATAAATTTTTTTCTGTTATTAATAGTTTTATTAAAAATAATTATTAACTTATTGAGTATCAAATAATGTTTATAAACTTACAGATTTCTCCTATGTAATTCATTGTATTTATTAACCGTTTACCTGGGTGTTAAAATGTACTAGTAATTCCTTATGTTTCTATTTCCAAGTTTTATTACTATTTTCTATATTTTTGTTAAATAAAGGCAATCTATATCAGTGGTTGTTACTCAATTGCCAGAATTAAACAGTTCATTGCAAGTTTTTTTTTCACCATCTGTACAAATAAAAATGATTATTCAGTTGTGTCAATACTTCTACTACTAAACGCATTTTTCTACCTCTTATACATTATACCTTTTCTTACATATTTTTTTTTTATTGTATCTCATTCTTATCTTTTAAAGTTCAATCTTTTGTTAAATTCGTGACGTATAACTAGTTTCTAAAATTTTTCAAGTAAAGGTAAGAAGGTTCTATATTAAACCAATATTTTTGTTTTAGAAATTAAAATAAAATTAACATTTGTTAAACACACCATTTGTTTTTTGGGAATTCGTAGTGGTACAGTTTAATCTATGATTGATTAATTATTATAAACATTTTCTAGTTAATACCATTGTTTAAAATTTTCAAAATAATAATGTATGTATTACTAAACTCGTGATTTTTTTTAAACTATAACAGCCTTAGATATGTAACACATTAATTTGTATGTGATTGATGTAAATTTAAAATTTTCTTCTTATCAAATTTATTTCAAGGAATATTTATTATTGATATACAGTGACTCAATTATGTGTTACTCAGAGAATGTAGAGAAATAACCTATCATACTGAAAATAGTTAGATAACAATTAAAATACAAGTTAATGGCTGGTATGGTATGTGATGAAGTTATTAATGATTGTCTTTTATATAACAACTTAGACTAGCACCTATACTAAACTTAACAAGTAAGTAAACTATATGTTGGTTAATGAACATAACAAAACATTTTCTTAATTTTGCTGATTACTAATGGGTGACCATTGAAAACAGCTATTATATAAAAAAAAATATTAGAAGTGATAGATTGTTCGAATTATTTAAATTTTCATCAAAGTGCTTAGAAAAACAAAACAAATAATCTTGTTTTAGGGTTTTGGATCAAAAAATTGGTATTTGGATTTAGGTCAATAACTTAATTTAGATAAAAACTAAACCATACTGCTACTATAATTTAAAAAAATAAACTAATTTTTTTTGTGTTCTTTAAAAATTACTCAGATTGAAAAACCAAAAACTTCAGTAGTACTAATATATACTCAAAATGTTCATACAATTATGAAAATTATGCTCAACACTTTCACCAAATCTTTTTCTTACATTTATAAAGAAATAAGTTGTTTATTTCATTAAAACAATCCTCAGACCTTTTTAATTTTGCTTAGAAGCACTAGTTTTTAACAACCATTTTCACTAAATTCTTTTCTATTATTAACTTTATTGTCTAATGGTCATTACTCAAATTTCTCTTCTTTTTTTTTTTTATGCTGATCTTAGCATTTGGAAGAGTTAAACATAGCTGCATTCACTAAGTAAGTCAATTGTTTCCTATACTTTTTTGAAGCTGATTTCCCTATCCATCTGCACTGTATTCTCCAGTTTATTGGCATGTGTGTGTACTATTGATGATTATTAATCCACCTTCCTTGACTTCTTGAATATCCCAGCCTCAGTTCATATTTCTGGAATAATGATTTTAGAAATGTAAGATGAATATATACTGCAGTAAATATATTTTTAAAAAATCAATTCTCCTTTTCCTGCATTTACTTGCATCTATCTTCTTCTCATAAGATTGTTGCTATTTATCGCTCATGATTCTGATGAAATCTTATCACTAAACCGATAATGTATATGGTATGGTTTGATTTACAATGTTGTGTCAAATTCAACTTGACGAATGTTTATGATTTCCTTAGTGGAACATAGAGATGCATATAAATATGTATAAAAGTTAATATTACTTTGTAAGCATGGTTTAGCAGGAAGTCGATTTAGGTGGGACAAATATCGCTCTTCTGCTCTTTTGAGTTAGTACCAGCAATAGCGACGTTCATACTACATAGTTGAAAATTCTTTTTAGCTTATCTATTTATTAGAAGTTGCCCCAAGAAAAACAAAAACTTCTGTTTAATATTAATATTTGAGTTACTATTGGTGCAATTTTTATTTTATTTTACAAACTGGCTAAAATAATATTAATAATTATATGAACAAATTTAGAAAAAAAAATATATTATTCAGTTCTTTTTCAGCTCTACTCATTTATTTTTATGTATCAAAATAGTATTTATAACAGTTGAATTTGTCTGATATAATAGTCTTTGTATTTAGTACTGATAAAAATAATATTTTTTTTTCCAAGTTCCAAAATTATTATTTCTATCATTGTAAATATTAGTTGTTAGTTTAAATAAAAAATCTATTTTTATAATTTTTTGGAGTAGTTTTAGTTGATAATTAACATTTCATTTTACTTCTACTTAACTATGTAATATGTTGTAAGAGAAAGTTTTCATGAAAAATTTTAAATCCGAGTTTTCAACGCAAATATATGTTTTGAGGTTCCCCGAGTCCAAAAAACCTTAATTCTCAAAATGGTATGTGTATGTGTGAACAGCCTACTCAGAAATGAAAAGTCATATTATACTGAAATTACATATTTAAGGTAGGGATCTGTTATGGGTTGTTACAACCACTTCTTCACCTAAATCAACTTACCAGAAATGGCACTTTATATCTTTTAATTTACTCATTTTTACAATTTTCTCGAGAACGGCTTTAACGATTTTGATTAAACTCATTACATCAATGTAAAATCAAGTGATATTTAACATTAGGTAGTTGTTATCTTCATTGAAATAGTCTGGCTGGGCTTAATAATGCAAAATTTCTTCCTGCAAATTACTTAATTTAATTTATTTAAAATTATTAACCATTTTACAATTAGGAATAGAAAATGGTATAATATAAATCTTGAACAAATTTGATAATTAACTGAAGGAGAGAGAAACAAGTGTTAGTCCTCGATAGACAATGGGAAATCGGAAACAGCCGAGAGTGCCCGACTTTTCCCAATCTTCCTGATTCAAACTACTCATATCAGTACAAGGCTTTCTTTTTGTTAAGTTAGCTGTTCATATATTTCACTTACACTTAATTTTCAAAAAAAGATTTTCATGCTTAATATTGAGGATTTACTAATATATCATTGTAATATGTCGATCCGAATGAACTGGATTTCTAGTCGAATGGCCAGCTTCAAGGTAATCCCCAAGGAAAAAATCATTTTCAGCTAAATCCAGAGATCAAGTAGGCCATCACATCACCCCTCATTGAAATGACCTTCCCTGGAAGTATTTGTCTCACAACTTCCATCTATTTATAGGCCGTATGTCACTTCATCTTTTGAAATCACCCATGTTCAAGCTCAAGGTCATTAAGATTTGGCTGTAAGAAATTCTGCAACATCTCAATGTACTAAGCACATGTGATGTATATTTCTCCCTCTTATGTAACAATGATTTCATGACTCCTTAGGGCACATAAAGTGGTTACCCGATTACTGTATTGTGGTGTTCAATGCTTCTATATGCCCATGTAATGTTCTACCTGTGAATACTATATATTCATATATATATATATATATATATATATATATATATATATATATATATATATATATATATGAATACTATATATTCACACACATGTATATATATATATATATATATATATATATATAAATATAAAGGTGGTAGCATTAATTTCTTATAGCCTGACATTATTAATATTTGCAATCAAGTTCTCCTTATCTGTGATAACTTAATTATCTGTAGTTTTCTGACTTGCCAATGTTACTTTAATTATTATTTTTTAACAATCAGTTTGTTATATTAATACCTTACTAAGGTATATTTGTAATTCCTACTTTTAACCTACTAATAATGATCAGATTATATTTAATATTTATTTTAATAATAGGTCAATTTTTTATTGATGTAGCTCAAGAGATGAAGAAGTTGATTCAAACTGCGTAGTTCGAGCAAGAGGTCTCCCGTGGCAGTCTAGTGATCAGGATATAGCTCGTTTCTTCAGGGGCCTCAACGTAGCCAAGTAAAGCAATCATATTAACCTGTATATCTTATATTTTAGCTTATAATATAATTGTAATATACATTCTCTCCCCCTCCCCTCTCACCCTCCCTCTCTCCCTCTCAAACACATATATAAGTTTTTATACAGGGTGTTCCTTAAGTAGAGGGAAATATTTAAAGGGTTGATATTAGACATCAAGATGTACAAAAAAGTTTATGTAAACAAATGTCCACTTTGCACAAGAAAAGTAAAAAAATTAAGATTTGTGCTTTTTTTAAGCAATTCACATTTTTTATTGAATAGGAAATGATGAAAAATATTTAATGTAAGTAATTAAACATTGCTCCATAGTAAACTAGAAAAAATTTGCTTTAAACCAACCAACAAATCTGCTTGTTGAGGTGCAAAAGAATCCAGAAGGTCTGTAATACCTACAGAAAAAAAAAAAAAATAATAACAGTTCATTCGTTCTCCTTCACTCAAAAATGTACCTTCCGATTTCTCGATATCTTCTGTCTGTTTATCAAATCTGGGTAGATCTAAGCGATCATTCTTAGATTTGTGCAGGAGGGGCTGCAATATGATGGGTCAATACTAGGATTTCTTTTCTAGCTGGGTAGACGGACAATGCACTCATAGTTAGGATTTGCTTCTATCAGTTGAGCTTCTTCCACCATTGGCTTGTACTTGTTTTGTCTATTCAGTTTTCTGACATGAATCTGGTCAGGATGCATTAGCCAATTTGTTTGCGAACTACTATAGAAAGATCTCCTAGAATGTTGAAATGTTTTTTCATGAGGCGTAACATTGCTTGGAGTACATAGAAGGGAGCATATCGAATGTAATGTCTCCAGCAAACTGCTTTCTTATTATCTCAATTTTAGATTTTAAGATAAGTAAAATCATTTTCTAAATAATACCATTATACCTTTGCACTTAATAATTGCCTCTCGGGTTATATGAGCATGGTATAGCAAATGGAAATCTTGAATATTTGTCAACAATGGTCAGTATGTAGATGTTCCTGGTAGTGATAGAATTGGTCCTTTAAAATCAATATTAAGTCGTTTGAAAGGTGCCAAAGCTTTTATTAGTGTAATTGGCGCCTTCTAATAAAATCAAGGTTTAATTTTAGCCCAATGACAAGAGGCGATTGTTCTTTAATATCGAACGAATATGATCCTTCTTTTTCTTCCACCCATTTGCCTTTCAGCATGGAGGTGCTTCTTACTACCGGTGCCATGAGTTTCTGTTTCCATCAAGGTTTCTCATTTCTTCCAGGCTCTTCTCTTTGCGTTTTCCTATTCGTTCCAAGTGGGTAAAATAGGAGGTTCTTGGACATCCTCTTGGTATTTTTCCCAACAGTTTCACTTCCATAGTTTTAATTGGCTTTCTCTGGTGATCCATTCGGCAGACATGCCCATACCACCTCAGTTGCCTTTTTTCTAGGGTTTCCGTTAAATGGTTTAATTTCAGCTCTTCCCTAATTCTCTCATTCCGAACACAGTCTCTCCATGTTTTCCCCACAATTCTCCTAAGGAACTTCATTTCTGAGGTAGTGCCACGGCTTAGTAGTCTCTCATTCATAATCTGACTCTCCACTCCATAGAGAAGTACTGATAGGAAGACGGACTATAAGTGAAGCTTTACATCAATGAATAAGTGAATAAGTGAAGCTTACATCAGTGAATAAGTGAAGCTTACATCAGTGAATAAGTGAAGCTTTACATCCTGTCTTACTTCCTTTTTTCCGATAACCAAGTTACAGATCTGGTAATAAACGGAGTTTGCCTTGGAGATTCTACTTGAGATTTCTAAATCTACTTTACCAGATCAACTGATCGCCGTGCCAAGGTACGTGAAATCCGTCACCACTTCCATCAGCTCTTCACTACAGACAATCTGGACATCTTAGGATCTACCAACTTGGAGGAGTTCCGCCTTGTTTCACTCGCTTTTCTATGTCAAACATTCTTAACTCTTGTCCATTTAAACACACAAAACCATTTGGCTTCTTGTACATTGATTTGCTAACATTAAGGAGTTTTCGGGGAATGTTCTTTGCCCTTAAGGACTCCCAAATTTCTTTCTGAGGCACTGAATCGAATGCCGCTTTCAGGTCCAAGAATGAATGCCTAATAGATGTTTCTGTCATGGGCTCAGGACTTTTCTATCACATTCTGCTGGATGAAAATTGGGTCTTGCAGGATAGGCTCCACTATTGGCCTTAACCAGTTGTCTAAGATAGTATATAATTTGTAGACCATGGGAGACTGGCAAATAGGCTTATAGTTGGAGCAATCACTTTGGCTTTCTTTCTTATAAATGGGGATTATCATATTGTACAAGGAATTCTTTCATTGTCCCAAACCCTTTGCAAGAACTTTTGTAGTGCTCCTACTAACCGGTCTTCCATACTAATGGAATTCTGGGACTGCATTGTCTCGTCCTGCTGCTTTGCCTGTCTTCATCTTCGCATCTTCGCAAGGTAATCGGGTCATTACCTTGATCCTCCACATCAGCTTCCCAAACGGGATGATCCCCTCTTCCGAATTGCCCTTAAACTGTCTTGAAAAGTACCTATTGCCCTATTCTAGCACATCTTTCTCCTCCGACACAACCTCTCCTTTTTCATTCTTAATATTTCTTATATATTTGGGCTTCCTGCCTCTGAGAATTGATTTTCCTCCAGAAAAGCTCGATAATTTCCTGATGGTCGTTATCGAGAGATCAACCAAACTTCTCCCATGATTTTCATTTTGCTTCTCTCACTGCCACCTTCACCTTGTTTCTAGCCCCTGTGTAGAGCTCGTATTTCCTTTGGCTTCTTACTTAACAAAATGTTTTCCAAATGTTTTTCTTCTCCCTTATGACAACTCGTAAGTTCTTCACTCCACCAGTCTGAGTGCTTCCATTTAGCCGAAACCTTCACACCACAAAATTTTGTCACTGATTATAATCTTGCTGCTTTTATGTCCAGCCAAAGGATATCCAGGTCTTTATCATAGTTCAACTCGTGTAGCGGAATCCTTAACTCTTCCTCGTAATTGCCGGGGATCCTGCAGCTGCTTAATTTTGATCCTTTCAAAGACTTAGACTTGAAGCTTCTTCATGGAAGGAATGCTGGTATTAGCAATCAGAAGCATTTGATCTCTTCCAATTTCAGCCCCTCATGTGAAGTTAATATCTGTAAAGTAGCTCCTTATTTCCTTGTAAAGAAAGTAGTCTATCACGCTATTTATGCTTCTTTCCAGTGCTGAAAACGTTATCTTGTGGACCTGTTTTTGTGGATAAAAAGAGTTGCCGATGACATCATTGTCAATGCATAATTTTACTAGGCGTTGTCCATTATTGTTTAATATTCCTACTCCTGAATTGAGAAGAGCATATTCTTTGTTCAATTGTGTTTCACTAGAACCCTTCTTTCTGATTTCACATACCCCTAGGATATCAATTTAGTAGGATTTGATCTCCTCTACAATTTCCACTTTGTTTTCATAGTGAGCATGTATGTTCCTTGTAGCAAATCTGATATCCCTTATAATGTCAATTCATTTCCGTAGAGACTGCCCGTTTACGAGGCTAAATCGCTTGTACTCCACTACAGGTGATTGGCCCCGTTACTTCAGGACAATTGGTTACCAGTTATACTCCCACCATTGAGTCTTCTCAGGAGAGGTGATTCTGAGGTATCTACTGTAAGTGTCCTTATTGTCAGTGTATATGTATAATGTACTCTTCTGCTGTGTGTAAGAGCATTGTGTACTGAACTCAGGAAACCGGGGGATCATTAATCCTAACCAGTAGAGCATATCTACTAGCTCTTGTGGTTCTTGCATTTACCAATGTGGAACATGCTGGTTATCTCTGGATGTCCGATGTCGCAATGTAGCTGCTTTAATCTCTCTTTTTCCTTGACTGACAATGGACATGATATTCTCCAGAAGGCTTCTGCTCCAATATTTTTATGACCTGGTCAATAAACAATGTCATAAAAATATGGAACTAGTTCGATTCTCCATCTCAGCATTTTATTTTTCCATTATGAAGATGATTTAATATGTAGGATACTGAACGCTGATCTGTAATCAATTTAAAATGATGCCTAATGAGTTAATGTCTCCATTTTTGGAGGGCTTCAGCAATGATATATACTTTTTTTTTCAAAGGTGGAAAATTGGTTTTAGTCCTATTAAGTGTTTTTTCTAAAGAAGCAACTGGTCTTCCTGCCTGTGAAAGGAAGGCAGCTTTAGCATGTTCAGATGTTAATAGAATTTCTTCTACAGCAAAAATAATAGAATTAACCTTTTGACTGTGGGTGCTCATTCGCGGGTTTTTACCATACGTTGCATCCTGAAATCCACTAAGACGTAAAAAAAAAAAAAAAAAAAAAATGGTTTTTTTTTGGCATAAATTTGTTTAAAATGCTATATTGAGTCACCCTGAAAGATTTTAGCTTTCAAAAATGCATTTTAACATTTTTATTTAATTTTTAAAAATTCCTGGCCGCACATAGCAATGCAAAACTACAGCGACAATCCCGCAACACTTCGCTTTCTTGGGTATTTGCTCATTTCATAAAAGCAAAATAACTGAAAAGGATCACAAAAATAACAGTAAGTGATCTTAAAAATTATATTATATTATTTATAAAAAAATGACACCGACGGCGGGATTCAAATTATATATTTCTTTGTATTTACAAATTTTTTCTTACCTAAAAAAATTCCATTTTGAAAATAGTGCAGTTATAAATTTTTCTATTGCACTTACATTTATTTTGAGTTTCAAACACTTTTATTTTATATGAAATATATATATCTACGTATAAAATAAGCGAAACTTACATTTATTTTTTTATTATACAGAGATTCACGCGTACCAAAATCAGCATTCAGTAAAAAAAAAAAAAAAAAAAAAAAAAAAATGAACTCATTAACATTTATTTTATTTATAAACCATTTAAATAGAATATCATAGATATGGCACAAACAACAGAGAAAGGACATACCTTGGGTTCAGAATAAATCGGCTACTAATATCTTCCAAATGGTCAGAATCCAGAACGACTGCACTGAGTTAGCTACAGGGGACTAATGAATGCACCGACTAGGCCACAAGTCAAATGGTGAAGGTGGGACTTGCCCCAACCTGTTTATGTGGTTAGGGAAGGCATATATCCCGGTTTCACCAGTGACCGAACTCACTACCGGGAAGGCATATATCCCTTCCGCATCAGTGACCCAACTCTTAACGAGAAGGCATATATCCCATCCGCAGTCGAAGGGTTAACTATTTCTAATTGTGGGTTTATGGTTGACTGTAGTGAATAATTGAAGAGAAGGATTGTTGGGATGATCAACCAAATTGAAATAGTAAAAAATAAATAATTTTATTTATTTTTACATTCCCCGACGTTTTGGCCTGATGTTCAGGCCTTCATCAGGGCTGGAAAAAGAACCAGATAACAATAGGTATAATAACATTGGATAGTATAGAATTAAGATTAAAAAAAGGATGATAGGTAAAGAATAATAATTTTTAGTTCAACAACTTAACGTAAAATGAAGTAGATAGAATGAACATTAAAGTAAAACAAAGTAGATAGAATAATAACAGTAACACAGAACTAAGAAATAAATAATAATAACTGTAACAAAGCACGGACCAATAAACAAAGCATGAAATAAGCATAATAAAATATTAGGTAACATAAAAATGAAAATGGTATTCTAGAATAAAGCATAAAACAGAGAAAAGAAATATGAAGTTATATAAGGAAATAATAGATATAAATAGAACATTAAGATATTGTAAAATCTATCAAAAATTATAATGTAAAAAAAAAAAATGTACGAGGAAATGTATCATATATAGAATATAGAGATGGAGATATAGAAAATAAAGATTGAGATATGGAAAATATAGTGACTGGGAGGACGAAGAAAAGGAGAATAAGATAATAAAAATAAACAAGCCTGTTGTACAAGAAGTAAAGTTAGACAAACGCATTTATGGCGGGAGGGAAGAGAGCTGGCAGATGGCGCCCTCTTTGACTGAAAAATGAACTAATTTGATGTACGAGAGATTTATTATAGATAATATTTATTTATAATACAGTACCTGATTTATGTAAAAAGTGAGATTAAAGAAAACAAAAAAAGAATTTCTTTAATGAGATTAAAGAACAAGAAAACAGAAGGTTGAATGGAAAAGAGTTAGTATATATATATATATATATATATATATATATATATATATATATATATATATATACATACATATACTTAGTACAGTACTTACTCTCTGCAACCAATAACCGAAAAAGGGAACCAAAGCACAGGAACGTATATGATGGACTGGAGTTCCATTGTAAATAATATCCAATTTATTGTAATAGAATACCTGATTTATGTAAAACGTGAGATTAAAGAAAACAAAACAAAGAGGAGTTTCTTTAATAGGACAATAGAAAAGAAAACTGAAGGTTGAACGGAAATGAGTAGGTTAATTTATGAGGCAATGGAGTATGGCGCCCTCTTTTACGTTTGGCCAAAAAAATGAACTAATATGATGGACGAGAGAACTATTTCTTTTATATTGAGTGATAAATATTCAGGACACAGTGTTTTAAAAAAACCGCCGGGTTAAAAAAATGTAAACAAATAAAAACAAATAAATTTTTTTTTAAAAACCCTGCGTCCTGAATATTTATCACCATGATATGTAGAACAGTCGACTAGCTTCCTTCAATATTTCTTTTATAATGAGGTTAACTATTGAGGTTAATGTTACGGTTAACTATTTCTTTTATGAGGTTGAAATCCTCTATGGCTTGACTGCTTATTTTATAAATTTTAAAGGAAACAAAATTGATAAGTAATTTCAGCTTATCTTCTATGGCATCGATTTCTCCAGTGAAGTTCTCAAATGTGTTCTTCCAATGTATCCATTGATGTATGGGCTGAGCCTCATTTGGATCTAGTTAAAGACATGCTGGTTTGAAGTATTTTTCCATCTTTGATTATTTGATAACAACAGAAACTTTTCGGTATTTAATTTTTGTCAAATTTAATTTAATAAATTTATTTAAAATATTAATTTTAAAGATAGGCTTTATTTTACTGAAATGTACTAACTATTTATAAATTATAAATCATGCATGATTTAAAAATTAATTGATTTAGAAATTGGTTTTATCACTTGAGAGCAACCCACCCTTTTCTTCCCACTATTTATTTATGTTTCTGTAGGTGCATTAGAAGTTCTCATTTTTAATCCTATGCTTTTGATTTCTTAATAAGAATAATTTAATTATTAAGAATAAGATTAATGATCATTACCTATAATAATAATAATTTTAATTATTAACACTTTTAAGGCATTTATCACTTAAATCATATTTATAGTTTTTATTTTAAAATTCATAAAATAATATTATTGAAGGAATTTAGTCGACTGTTGTACATATCGCGCGTGATAAATAGTCAGAACGCAGTCATTGTGAATATTTTTATTGGTTCCCATGCCTTAGCACTAGGCACCAATTAAAAATATTCATGATTGCGTCCTAACTATTTTCACCCATAAAATAATATTGAATGTTTATCATATAATATTTAAATTTCTAGTTTTTATTAATATTTAATCCTTATTATTTTATTTAGAGGTGGCGTTGCTTTGTGCCTGAGTCCTATGGGAAGGCGTAACGGTGAAGCACTAGTGAGATTTACTTGTGGAGAACATAGAGAAATGGCTCTGAAAAGACATAAACACCATATTGGTTCAAGGTAATGGTGCTGTCGCTTTATATTATATTATTATCATTTATTTTTTATTTTTTAATGATATAATTCTTATGAATTGTTTGCAGATATATTGAAGTCTATAGAGCTACTGGTGAAGATTTTGTAAATGTTGCTGGAGGTATTTATTTAAAATGCAAAATTAATGTTAAAAATATATATTTTTACCTTCTTTATGATATTTAGAAATATTTTTTTGGTTATATCATATTTTCCGAGCTTATGTATTTTTCTCATTTATTTCAGTATATAAAATAATCATCTGATTAATCTCAAACATTGGTATTATTAGTAAAATTGTGCTTTTATTCAGTATTAACCCTCCAAAGGTGATCATAAAAAAATTGTAACAGCAAACATACTTTAGAAATTTTTAAGTTTTGTCCTACTTGAAGGCTCACTAGCTGTTATCAATGCAAAATGGTAAATGATGGTAGAATAAGAAAATTATTTAAAAAAAAAAAAAAAGTATACACAAAATTCTATCACAAATATTTTTTTTTTCGGTTGACTCTACAGACCTTGTAGATCTTTGGCTGCCTGAAGTAGCCTTCTCCACTTCTGCCTATCTTGGGCTACTAATTTCCAGTTTGTGGCATGAAGCTCAGCCGTATCTTTGTTTATCCTATCTATTCATCTGGTTTTTGGCCTCCCATGTGGCCTCTTGCCTACTACTCTAGCATTCATTGTCGTGTAAAGGCATCCTGATGGATTGCTACGAGCTACATGCCCGGCCCATCTTAACCTCCTTGCCTTCATGCCATGAGATATTGACTGACCCGTTTCTTTCATCAGTTCTTTATTGTTCCTTCTCCTCCATGTGTCAAGATTCTTGTCCCATATAGGTCCTGTTATTCTGCATAGAACTTTTCTTTCGAATCTCTCAATTCTGGCTTCTAGTGTGCCGGTTAGAGCCCAGGTTTCACAACCGTACAGCAGAACTGACTTAATCACGGCATTGTACACCCTTATTTTTAGATTTCTGGAGATTTTTCGGGATTTCAGTAACCTTGAAAGAGAAAAGAAAGATCTGTTCGCACTTGTTATTCGCTGGTCTATCTCTGTTAGTTGATCATTTATTGAGTTTATTGTGGAGCCGAGGTATTTGAATCTTTCTACTTTCGGGAATGACTTAGAGCCCACACAGATCATGTTATTAGGGTAGATGTTTCGGCTAACTATCATGTATTTAGTTTTATCTACATTGACTTGTAGTCCGATTAGCTCTGCTTCTTTTAAGATAGTCCTAGCGAGTCTCTCAATATCCTCTTGATTACTTCTGAGGACAGCTGCATCATCGGCATATGCTATGATTTTGTGTTTCATTCTGACATGCACCCTTCCATCTTGGCGTGATGTTATTCTTATTACTTTCTCTAGTGCTAAGTTGAACAGCATCGGCGAGAGTACATCTCCCTGCCTTAAACCCGTTCACACTTCAAAGGCTTTAGATACTTCTCCTTGTATTAGTACTCTGGATTTAGGATCATTTGTACACCCTTTTGTCAACCTCACTAACTTCCCGGGAACACCCAGCTCAGTCATGATCTTCCGGAGACAGTTTCTGTCCACGGAGCCGTAGGCTGCTTTGAAGTCAACAAACAATGCGTGCATGTCCTGATCTACTTCCCATCATTTTTCAAGTATTTGTTTTAGGATGAATATCTGATCTAGCGCACTCCTCCTCCTGAATCCTGTTTGATGGTCACCTATTATGTTTTCATAATAAGGATATATCCGATTTAGCAGAATATTAGTCATTATTTTATAGGCGACCGGAAGAAGTGCTATGCCTCTGTAATTGCTACATTCATACATAGAGCCCTTCTTAAGGAAAGGACAGATCAATCTTGTGTTCCATGCTTCTAGTATTCATTCCTTCTCCCATATCTTCTGGATTAGATCTAACGGCTTGGCTCTGAGGTCTTCTTCCCCATCCTTGAACAATTCTGGTGGTAGGTTGTCTATCCTTGAAGCTTTTCACAAATATGGATGTATATATATATATATATATATTATTTGATAGAATTCAGTGTATAACTTTAATATAGAAGAATTGAGATGAAAAGTACTAAATATATATTTTTATAGTTGTAACTTTTGAAAACGGGTAGCAAAAACCTAGAACGTTAAGCTAATCATCCACTGAATTTTAATTATTAATATCGCTTTGTTTAATATTTTATTATTTTATCATTAAATTCAGACTATTTAAGTTATGGGAAGACATTATATTTTTTAATCAGTAGAACTGTATTAATGTAATGTTTGCTCAAATACACATCATAAAAAATTTCCCATTTCATTGGACTGTGATTTATCTCTTTGAGTTCCATTGTTGGCTCTTCATCATTTTTAACCATCTGAAAAACTAAATCTTAGTTATCGTAGAAATGTGCTGTTAAAATCTCAGGTGCACAGATTGGAAGCACCTTATTTAACAAATTGGCTCAAATCCTTGGCTTCAAGAGTGATAGGTCCATTTGATAACTCCTTCATTGCTATGCAGACCCTCAAAAACCACTACCAGACTTTAATTAAGACTTCTCATCGATTGAGTATTGGTCAAGCTGCAGATATCAGCCCGTACACGGTAAGGAGAAGGCTTTCTGAACTCACCCTGCACATACGAGTTTCCACTTGCTGCTTTGCGCACACCGAAAATTTTGCCTTCACTTTTGACGTTAACACGCTCTCTAGACAGAAAATGATTTAACATCTGTTCTGTTTTCTGATGAGTACGGGTGTAGCCTTCATGGTGCCACCAGATGAGTTGTGAGGGAGTGCTGTTACAAGGTCAATGGTTGTGCCGGGAGGTGATTGGGTCGAAATCTTGCTCAATCGCCAGGTTTCCCCCCATAATTAATTATTCAATTAAGAGTACCCACTTTATAGAGGCTGGGTGTGCCTTCAGTAGGGTCTCCCGACCCCAGCGGTGATACACAAATATAGCTGATGAAAAATTACTCGTCATCAGCTGAATTCAAACCTGGGACCTTGAGCTCTGTAAGTCAGTGCTCACCTACTGAGCTACCCTGCTTCCCACACTATATTAAGATAAAAAATATTGCCTTTTGTTTTCTGTTGGAAAAGAAATAAAGACAAAAATTTAAGGTACACTGATTTTTATGACCACCAGTGTATTTTTGGTTATGATTACGTAAAAATGGAGAGCTTTTCAATTTTTTCAACTATGTGAGCTTTCTTTCAAAGTAACTATATTCTTCTATTTATTCAATGATTACAAAAACAGTGTTGTTGACAAAGGCTTTTAGTTACATCGAAATTCTACTTAAATCTGAGTCCTCATCTTCGTGGCAAATTGCTGCTACAATAAATTAAAAGGATTGTTTGAAAAAATTAAAATAAACCTTTGTCAAGTTTTATGAAAAAAATAAATTGTCTATATTTATTTTTACTAGATTCAATAAATATATTTATATAGTCACTTATTTATAGAATATAATTCATAATCAAACTGAACTATAGGTTCCAACAATGAGGCTCAAGCATTTCTAACAAGGGGAGCCCAGGTCATCATACGAATGAGGGGACTTCCTTATGACTGCACTGCCAAACAAGTGGTAAGCATATATATATATATATATATAATTTGTGAGTAAATATTTTTTGAATTTGGAGATCACTAGTTCAATTGCCTTTTGTAATAACAATTCATTTAATTTAAGTATTGTGCCAGTATAAAGGTTCTATAAAACCATATCTTGTGGCCAAAGAAAAAAAATATATATATTTGTTATAATTAGAGTGATGGATTTTTAAATTTTTCCAAATTGAAATTCTCGGAATCGAAATGGTTTTCCTTACTCTTTTTCATATTAAGTTTTTGTCAAAGATTCATGATTTCATCCACATTCTGCTCTGCGATAAGACCTTACATTAATTATACTATTTTGCCGCATAGATTGTATCAAGATGTGATCGATTTGATTTTGTGTTTGGGAATCTGGTGATGTCCAACTATATTTGTGAATATTCTTATCTTTAAACATAGTAATTTTAATTATTAAATTTTTTAAGATGGCAAAGTTTATTAGCCGGATTCCATTATCATTAATATATTCATGTAAGCTTTCTTTACCGATTGTTGGAAAATAAACTTCTTCCCTTCTCACCTTTGCATTAATGTCCCCTAAAATTATTTTCATGCAGCTTCGCAGTAGTTTATCATAAACCCACTCCAGTTTATCATAAAATTCGTATTTGGCTTCATCATCACTGTCTTCGGTCAGACAGTATATCTTTATCAACGCGTTTTTAAACCAACGCCCCTGGGATATGGCCACCGAAATCCTATCGCTAAGGATCCGAAAAACTCAAATAAAATGAAACACTTATACGTAATCTCAAAATGGAAATCATTTTCAAAATCTGCGGCTCCGAAAACATATAATTAGATTCTTGAATGGAATAAATCCGAAAAACTCAAATAAGTGAAAACACAGTGGCCGTCTTAAAAAGGAGATAATTTCCAAAATCTTCAACTCTAAAAATACATAAATCGACTCTTACATCGAAGAATCCGAGAAACTCAAATAAATTGAAACACAGTGGCTTAAGATAGAGATCTTTTTTGAAATCTACAGCACCAAAAACATATAAATAGACACTAATATCGAAGAAATCCAAATAACTCAAATAAGTATAAACGCATGTAAGTATAAAGATTATAAAATAATCTTATAATGGAGATTATTTTCAAAAACTGCGGCTCCAAAAACATATATACTAAATATTTTTGCCTACTTCTACATAGCTAGAAAATTGTTGGAACAATGAAAAATGGGTCATTGATTTACAAAATAAAAGTGGAATGAAAATTTGGAAAAATTTTAACACCATTTTTTTTTTTTGGCAGGCTTGCTAAAATAAATTTACTGTTAAATTATTCAAAATTTATGAGAAGAAGTTGGCTGGGGATACTGTCAAATAAATACTATTCTAGTTTATAGTATTTATTGGACCGCACCCCTGACCAACTCATTCTCATATCATTATCACGGTCAACCATCTCTTCACCATTATTCGAAATTTATTTGAAAAGCTCGAAGAACAAATAAAAAGATAATAGATAGCTTAAGTTTATTTATTATTTAGATAAAAGATAAACAGAAATATTCGTTATCCGTAGTTGAAAATACGAATAAATCATTCATTATCTATTAACTTTATAATTTTGCCCAACACTAATATCTGTGTGTTTTTTATTTCATAGTAGCAATAAGGCATTTTCAAATGTTCATTGTTTCTAACTTTTATCCTACTTGAAGGCCCACTACCATTATCAATGTAAAATGGTGAAATAACGATTAATAAAGATCTTAATATTATTTCTCAGTTCTATTTTGCATTTTATTCTCCCATTTTGCATTGATAACATATCGAACATTATTTTATTAATATTTGTTAGGAATTCAAATCAAATTTCCCGCTATTCTCAGTATTTCCCACTCTCATCTAGCTTCTCTGAGTTCTGACTTTCCCCTTAAGAGGAGAACAATTTTTCCTGGACCCTGATTAGTGCACAATCTCTCTTGTTCTCTTAATACATTCACATCTCTTCATAACTACTGCTTCAGAAATTCTTTTCTTTTTCTTCACCTCCATCCTTATTCTTCCCATCAATGCAGTTAAGTTATGAGACAACCCCACTTAAATGTATGAAAAATAGTTACAATATTTCCCCCCTTTCAATAAATTTGCCAATAATAGATTTCTCATTTTCCAGTTTTCATGAACCCATATAAAATTTCCCTTTCAATATAAAGTCCGCTCTATTCCATAACAATATTAGCATTCCATCTTTCGAATTTTCAAAGATCTAAAATAAAAATAATCAATTTTTGATTGAAATAATACTAATTGGTATTCTTTGATTGGCTTGTAAGATATTTGACTCGTAAGATGACTACAATAAAGCTAGGTCATAAGCACTTCACTACCTGTTTTGTCTCAATTCTTTGGTGCTCATGTTCTACTTACAAAAGTTACTTTATTGTTTCTGTTTTGTTGTCCTCCGTATCACCCAAATGTTGCTCTGTCCCCCTGAAGAACCATCTTGCATTTGGAAAAGAGAGAGAGTGAGGAGGGAAGGAGGAGCTGCTGATACAGGGGTTAAAATTTATTGTTTCTTCGTATTTATTATGATACCTTATAAATCTGTTTTTTTTTTTAATTAATTATTCAAATTTGTAAAAACATTTTTAAAAATTTATTTTGTGATCTATTACAGATTGAGTTTTTTGAGGGTGGTGAAAAACCATGTAGTGTTATGGGGGCAGAGGAAGGTGTGCTGTTTGTTCGAAAACCAGATGGCCGCAGTACTGGAGATGCGTTTGTACTTTTCAAACAGGAAGATGATGCACCTAAAGCTCTTTCCCGCCACAGGGATTCTATAGGAGTAAGGTATATCGAACTGTTTAGGAGTACAACAGCTGAAGTTCAACAGGTAAGATATTGAAATGTTTTTTCTTAGTAAATGTGTAATTATTCACTACTTATTTATCTAATTTTTATAAATCAGATCCTACTCTCACTTTACATTTCATTTCATTCAACATGAAAGATTATTTATCTTTTTAATGTATTCAAATTAACTTGATTTAACATTAGTAGTCAAAATAATTAATTTTTTGTATTTTTATAAATAGATTTATTGCATGTGGGTGTGTAAATTAAAAAAAAAAATCTTTAAAAATTCTAAATAATAAGAGACAATTTTATTTATTGTTTTAATGTAAAGACTTATTTCACTTTGTTGTCTCTTAATTAGTTTCATCCAATATTACTGTTTTCAAATCAGACAATATGTAGCAGTAGCAGGTTGCCTACCAATTAGAAATTTCAGGAATATGTTGGAGATTTTGTATGATTAGGAGAAACTGAGAATATTCACAAATTCATTGGATTACTGCCATATAAATGTTGCTCTTCTTATAGTTGACCTCTATCCGTTTACCTTCTATTGAGCGATTTGCTCCATTGCTTCCCAACAGTATTCATGTTTATGGGTTCCAGCAATGCAATATGGTTTCTCTTCTTTATTTCAATCTCATGAAATGATGTTTGGTTTTCTGGCTGTTCTTGTATAGTATTGAGGTATAGCATACCTTCCATGGCTAGTATATCTGCTATTTTGTTGTGGAGACCAGAATGGCTTAGTATCTCTTTAAAAGATTATCTCTCTTTTACCTGAAGAAGCAATCCTCCAATAATGTATCGACAGTACAAAATGTCCTGAGTATATATAGGATTAATTGGACTGTCCTACTGCGAGTATAGGAGCTTCAGAATTTACTAACAAAATGTTGCTTTTGATATCTGTGTTAAACAGAGTTTGCAGCACCAATGAAATCGCTTGAATTTCATTGTCAAAATGTGTGGTCCATTTTTCAACTAGTTTTGAAATGGCAAAGAGAGGCGAGTAAGTGCCTGCCTCTCCTCTGTATACTGCTTGTTCAGCAAAGCCATCAGTCAAACCACTCCACAGAGAACTGGGGTAACATTCAGTTATTGTTTCAAAAGCAATGGGTCACAATTCATCAGGCATGGCCTCTTCTTTTTATGGGTCTAATAAGGTATATATACTGTTGTTTTTACTGGGTTTCTTGATAGTATTCAAGAAAATGGTTATCTTTGAACCTTGAAGAGGGCATGTTTGTTTTATTTTTAAGTTGCTTAGCATTCTTTAAAAATTCAACTTCCTTCATGAGTCTTTGGAGCTTGCCTATTATTTTACCACTAGTCAATCAGAAGTCTATGTCAATCAGAGAGGCTTTTTGAGATTTATTTTCTATGTAAAAATAGATGCTGTTTGTGATATGATCACAAAGCATTCAGTAGATTGCTGCCTCATTTATAACTTTTGAAGCATCAGAGTTTAGACCTCATATTGTTTTTACTGATATTCTCGATTGTTAACAGTCCTTTATTTAGGTGTTAATTCCAATTGTGTTTTTGGTTAAATAACATTCCTTAATATTGTAGTGTGCAACTTTTTTTTTTTTGACCTGTCATCAGTTTGTGTCATGTTGTCTATTTTCATAACTGTGATTTATGAAGTTTGTTGAAATTTATAAAGTCAGAAAAAAAGTTTTTCTTGTAATTCTTCAATTGTTTTTCATTTTACCAATATTACTATGTTGTCAGCATTTTGTTTAGTTAGACAGCATCTAGAATTGTGTTTATAAATTCAGTGACAAAACAGATCCTTGAAGAGTAACTAGGGCCAGTTTTTTTAGTAATGGTACAAGAATTAGTCTTCGCAACCAACAAAGTAAATTTGTAAAGGTTTTTGGGACTTTTTTTAAAGATAACTTGGTATTGCTGGCCACTAATTAGTGACGAATGCTCCTTGATATACAATGTTTTTGGTTAAAATTGTTTTATTCAATCTGGTACCTTTTTACTATGAAGTTTTTGAAGTCTACTCTTAGAAGTATAAGTAGGCTTTTTCCTAATAGTTGTACTGCATTTAGCATTATAAATAGGTTTTGAAAAAATTGTTACTTGAAACTAATAACTGCTAAATTTCTAAAACTATAAACTTTATTTAAAAATAATACTATCAAACTACTTTGGAAATTAATAACAGAATGCTGAGATCACTGAAAACTGGTTTATCGGAAGCTGACCTTACCTGACCTCAGATAAGACAGCTGAAATTAGAGGCAATGACCCTAGATGTAAATCTTTGGCCCAGGTCGGTCATGTCCTCCTCCACCTTACTCAGGCCACTAATCAAGTTAAATTACCTTCTATAATTGTTGTTTAAAAATTTGAATTTTGAAAGTTTGTTTTGATCAAGTATACTTATACAAGTATACAAGCATTTTAGTTAGTTCAAGATTTTCATAAATTATATTGTATCTAAAACATTTATAAAATGAAATTTGGAATGTAATGTATTAATTTAATTTTTTCAGGTATTGAACAGGACCATGGAGACCCCTCCTGCTCCACTTCCTCCTCCGATGATCACACCTCTACCACAAGTGGCCCTCCTCCCACAACATATCATAACATCAGGAACAAGGTATTTATTTATCTTCACCATATTAAACTATTGGGAATAAAATTGAAATAAGAGAAAAATATGGTTTAGTTATTTTTGAAAGTTCCAATAATTAATCACAACTATTAAATCTCTTTAGAATCTTCCAAAAATAAAATAATTATATATATTTATTATTATTAAATAGATGTGAGTGATATTTGGTATACACTCGATACCACACCATATCTCTGTCATTAGCACAGATATATCTATATCTACCCAACTATCACTGTGCTTTCAAAATGTCCTGAGAACTTTGAAATATCAGTATTAATTATGAAGATGTCTTTATCCTCTATAACCTGCTGCCAGATGTACTCTTATACAATGTATTATCATGCGTGCAAATTTGGATGTAGAGGGGACTATATTTAATTAAAGCTGTCAATTAGTAGTATATGCTGATGATGTCATCATCACTGGAAGGTCACTCCAAATCATCAAAGTTTCATTTGAAAGGTTCGAGGAAAAGATAGACATTTGGTCTTCAAGTAAATGTCGAAAAGACAAAGGTAATGGTAATGAGGAGAAAGAATTTGAGGCATCCCCAGAACATTTACATAGTTGGCAACAGCTCCTTTGAAAATGTCTCAAGTTTTAAGTACCTTGGAAGCTGAATAAATGTGGCCTTGGATGAGGAGGAAGAGATTAAAGCTTGTATTCTTGCTGCCAGTAAAGCATTATACTCTTTCAGGCATATCTTTAAGAGTCAATTGATCAGTCCCACAACAAAGATAACACTGTACAAAACGTTAATAAGACCCATTGTGACCTACGCGTGTGAGACAGGTGTTCAATGGTACAGCAGCAAACAATTTTGATGTCCTCTTCTTAATAAATGTTGTATTCAATTGAAATATTTAAACATCTAGAAATTCAGGGATGGATTCCCTACTTATCTGTGAGAATATTTCTTTTTCTAAATAAGTACCATTTATTTAGAATGTGGTTTTATTTAATTAAATCGTGAAAACGAAAATCTTTTTGCCACAAGACAAAAATGACATTAAAACATTTTAAAGTAATAACTAAATATTATTACTCAAAATTTGGGAAGTACTTACTATTCCAAATATTGAACTGTTGAACCATGTGTTTCAGCATAGATTTAAAGCTTCTTAATTAACTATTGTACTAGTTGCTTCAAACAAAGAATATTTATTAAAAGATATAGTAAAAGTTAATCATATCTTTTATACGGATGATATAAATAGAATTCTAAGAAACTTTTTTAATGAGTAAAGCAATAAAATTGCTTCTATATTCCTTAGATTTTTTTTTTTTGTTTGTACATGTTAATTCAGATATCTGGGACAAAACATACAACTAATTATCAGCTTTTATCAACCAATTATTGGGCACAGAGATATTCATGAGCTTTTTTCTTTTTTAATCCAATAAGGTTGGTTGGCTTTCCTAGTTTTGTTGGGTATTGTGTTTCTATGAAGGAGTAGATTATTGGGAGCTTTTTACGCCCTTTAAAATCAGTTTTCCAACCTGGCTGATATTATTGTCTATATTATAGAATATCCACAATGTATTTATGTGTATATTTGAATTATGTTGTATATTTAGTTTTATTTTCATTATGCAGAAATACAATGTATATCACTCTGTAATAGAACATTCAGGTATTGGTGAGGAGAACTTGTTTTAAATTCAACACTTTTTTTGTATGTCTGATGTTATGTTATTTAATGAATGTTTTTAAGAAAAATATCCTGATTTTGTATTGTTTAGGAAAGACTGCATAAGACTTCGTGGGCTGCCGTATGAAGCCCAAGTTGAACATATCCTTGAATTCTTAGGCGAACATGCCAAAAATATTCTTTTCCAAGGTGTCCATATGGTTTATAATAGTCAGGTAATTCATTGCTATTTGATATTTTTTTAATGAAATTATTCTTAGATAATATTATTTTATATGATAATTAATACCATATATCATTTTTTTTTTAATGAATACCTTATATGTTTATTTATTTTAGAATGAATACCATATATATTTATTTATTTTTGACACTATAGATCTTTAAGACCTTGGGTCTCTCTTTCTAACTTTCTCCACTCTCCATCACCTCATGTATTTTATTTTTTTTTGTGTTTATAAGTTTTATGTGTGTGTGTGTGTGTGTGTGTGTGTGTACAAAACCTATTTACATAGATAAATATATATTCTTTTCTTGGGAATCTTGAGGTTAAGTCAATTAAAAAACAAGTACATTTTGGCGATGTTTCGAAACTTTATTAATGCTCTACAGTGAAAACAAAACAGGTTTTCTCGCGAATTTTACAGAAAATAATTATTACACACCTTACAATTAATTAAAATAGACTTACTGATAGAATTGTGTTCAACATTATTGAAAATTGATATTCAATACTTTTAAGTATTTAATAAAAAATTTAATACTAATAACTATTTAATAAAAAAATTAATACTATTAACTATTTATTAAATTGTTGATAGCTCAGAACAACTTTTAATGTAAGACTGAGTGAGGTTAGAAATAAATAAGAAAGTTGTGGAAGTTATTTGATTTTCCCAAACCGTATGGTTTTCAGTATTTTCTCATTAGCAATTTAAGACTGTTGTGAATAAATTAAAAAAATTCTTTTAATCAATTTCTTAACACAGTTATGTATGTAACTTGTAAAAAATATGTTGTTCCTCAAATTTCAAACTTTTTTATTTTATTCTTTAAATGTTATTGTTCTGTAGAAATAATAAGAAATAAATGAAAAATTGATTTAATGTGAATTTTTAAACCTTTTGAAAACAATAATTTTATTTTATACTAATTTTTATTTTTCTGAAAAAAAAATTGAATAAGGAAGTGAAATGTTGATAAATGAAAAAGTTTTATGCCAGTGTATGCTTCATTTTTAACTCTGAATAAACTTATTTTTTTATCCTTGTAGTTGTTTGTTTTTATATTAATGCATTTCATTGATTCTTTGCTTACCATTTTCTTTTCTCTAATTGGATATGGAACAGGAAAATAAAGGTAATCTTAATTTTTTATAAACATCTTTTTCCATTATTTATTCTAATATTTTGATAAATGAATTTCGATCTAATAAAGTCGACTATGTTTGAATTGTTATGTAGGTCTATTACAGTAGATAATGAAAGCCAAAATATTTGAACTGTCCCATCACAAGATATTGGTCCAAATATATTTTATATATATATATATATATTTATTTATTTTAACATAATTATTTAAATTGGGAGTTGGGTCAGAGTAGCTTAATATCTTTGCTAGTGGATGGTATTGATGCTGTCGGTGTGTCCCTGGCCTGATGTATCAAGGCTCTATAAAAAAAAAAAAAAAAAAAAAAAAAAAAAAAAAAAAAGGATCAATGAACATTTAGTAGTTTATTGAATAATTATTAAATGACCTAACCCCCAATTTGAATAATTATGTAAAAATATAATACTCAAAGGTTGATTGAAGAAATTTTGTAAATATATGTTTTTTTCAATTCTAGTTTAATTATTTGTTGTTTTAAGCAATAGTTAGTGAGGAGTGGGAGAGATGTGGTCCACAATCAAATACTATGTATACACTACAAATGTAGTTGATAAATAAATACAGTGTGTGATTGTTGACTAAGCAATCTCCTCCCCCCCCCACTCTCCTCTGACCAACTTTTCCATAATTCCAACTATGGTCAATAATTTCCATACTGTAATTAATTATTTTTCAAATTAGCATCTAGAAAGATATAGAAGACAATAATTTTCAAGTTATTCGAGAAAGAGTGAGAAAGAGGGGAAAAAAAAAGGATTTCCTTGAAGATATAACCATAATAGTTTTTAAAAATCATAAATACTATTTCCTTCAAGTGATCATATTCTTATTTATTTTTATAACTTTTTTCCTTTTTTTTTTTTTTCTCTGAGATATACTATATATGAAAAGTGTAAGGGCTTTGGTAGAAGTTAGTTATCAGTCATCCTGTTACTGAGTTAGTAGATGCACAACCACACAAACCAATAGCCAAAAATATATTGGCTAAGAAGAATCTGAAACACCTATAATCTTTAAAATTTGAAAATTGTTATATACTTTTTAATAGATTAAACACATTTTATACAATAATTTGTTTGTTTTTTGAGCTCATACTATTTCAAAACACTCGCAGGATATTAATTAACACATGAGATTATAATATTTATTAAATAGTATTTTGTATAATTATCTAAAATCAAGCACTCTTATCTTATAATTTGCCTCAGTTATCATGAGTAGATGCCCTTCCAAACTCTGTTGCTTGTCCATCATCTACCAAGTTAACTAACATATCAAAGTTGTCGCAAGAATGGAAAAGTACTTGATTTTTATTTCAACTATCTCTTATGATTGGAAACTGAATAATGTCAAAATTAATTATCTTTTTTATTATTATTTTTGTGGACCATTAATATTTTAATTGTATTTGTAATAACTTAATATTAGATAAAAGGTTTTAAAATTTTTTTTTTAACAATTTAATGTCAAATAGGGTCAGCCAAGTGGGGAAGCCTTCATCCAAATGGATTCTGAAGCATCTGCTGCGGCAGCTGCCAATCTTCGCCATAACAGGTATATTAATATTTATGTTGAGCTGTTCGAAATAGATATATGGTGTAAAACAGAATAGTGAAAATTTTTGTTATTTTTAAAATAATTTTATTTTTCTGCAAAAATGTTTTCCCCTTCAAAATAGTATAGTTATAAAAAAATAAAATAAAAATAGTTCAGTTAAATAAAAAATTTTCAAATAGCCAAGGAATGAGTTGTAAAGATAAATTTAGTCATGAATGTTGATTATATATTTATTGAAATATGCAACTATTATGTTTTTGCAATTATTTCAAAATTTGTCTGAACTTGAGAACTTGGTTGCCTAAGTTCTCATTACAAATTTCTTATATGGCAAAACTCTTATGTGGCACTATCCCTGGAACTTAAGAAATTTTATTATATCTTATAAAAAATGTATGTATTACAAATCTCTAAAAAACAATTTGTTTCGGACTGGAATGATTTAAACCAGTGTACCTTTGTCTGAATCTTAAATATAAATTTCTTAAAAATTGAATAGATTCCGTAAGTAAACAAAACAACCCAGCAAACAATGGAACATGACTAGATTTCCTAGAACAAGCCCAGCGAGAATTAGTGAAGAACTGATAGAGCATTCTAGCGGCGTCATCGAGAATCGACTCCAAACCTCACTTCCATTTCTTCGATTCCCAAGAATTGAAAATTGACTACAATTCCCAGTGAATCGTCCGATTCCGATTGCTAGAATATTGACCGATTCTGATTGGCAGAGAATCGACCGATTCGAAATAAACCAACCGTTTCCGAATGAATCGGCAGATCCCAAGTGAATCATAATTCTTTCATGTGAATCACTTGATAGTGCGATTCTTACAGAGTAATCAACTCTTTGATTCAATTCTTGATTCACCTGTCCATCTCTAATATCAATCATTAACACTTAATTTTAATATTCTTCATTAGAAGACTTAAGTAAGTTCTTAAATCTAACCATGAAAATCAAGATTTCCAGCTTGAATGTGCTAGAAGGTTGTATATATTTGCTACCTATCTTCTGAGCTTTCTTTATTCTTCAATTTATTGACTAACATTGACTTGACGTTTCGGAACACTCTTTTTAACATTTTTTCTAGTTTAGTTTGACTTCAGAATATTCAAATTTTCATTTATTTAAAATAAGCTCAAGTTTAATTAAAGGTGATCAAATTTTGAAATATTGTGTGAACAAACGTGACTAAGACAGCATAAGGTTAATTAACATTTTACTTGTTAAAATGTTTATTTTTTACTAAGTAATATTTAGAATTTTTTTTTTATTTGTGTTTTCAAAAACTATCTAGTGCCTATGATGTTGCAGGTACATGGTTTCCTTTGGCAAAAAACAGCGTTACATTGAGGTATGGCAGTGCAGTGGTGAAGATATGTCTCTAGTGTTATCAGGAGTACAAGGTAGTCCTGGACAAGGGGCAGCACCTGTTCCACCACAACCACCACCGCCAGCAGGTAGCCTGCTCAAGCGACCCCCTCCCCCTCTTTTTCTTCTCCAACCTCCTCCTGCTAAGAAACCATTCTTCCTGCCACCTCCACCTCCACCAACTCCCTCAGTACCTCTCGCTGCAGCACCTGTTCCCCACCCTGCTATATTTCAGATCCCTCCTCCACCACAGATTCACTTTGCTCTTCCTGTATTTCCAAGATTGTCTCTGTTCCCCCCTCTCCCTCCAATTTAGATTTTTTATAACACAATTCCTGATTACCTTACATCATTTGTTAGATGTATTTGCTAAATATAATATAATTTTGGTAAATTTATTTTTCTTAATTTGAATTAGTTTTCATTTATTTTTCTTCCCATTTATTTAATCAATAAATATATATATATATATATATATATATATATATATATATATATATATATATATATATATATTTTAATAAGCCTTATAATTATACGTTTTAATAGTTTTCTCATATTATCTTTTTCATATTTAAAATGTATTTCATTTACATTATTATGTTTCATTATTCAATTGTTGGAATTCCCAGATTGATTACCATTAATAAATAAAAATTGCAACATTTTTAGCTTATCAGTGATTAGGAAGTGATGTAGGTAATCAGGAATTGTGATTCTCTTCAATGTTCACTGAAAAATTAAATGCTCAAAACATGTTCTGGTAATTTTTATTAGTAGATTTTATTGACTTTGAGTGTTACATTCCCTAGGATTATTATATTCTTCCCTGAAGCTAATTTTGTGATATCAAAAGCATTTTATTGTAGTGTCCCTTAACCTCATTACTTGGATTTTATCTTGACATTATAAGGACTTGATACTTTATTTTTCTATTTATAAGACATTACATAGATGATTATTTATTTTATCACTATTGATTTGATTGACAGCACCAATATATATATATATATATATATATATATATATATATATATATATATATATATTTATATTTTTTATTTTTGTTATAATACAGTTACAGTCGAAGAAGTGTGCAGTGTTGTTTGCACTATTATAATACCAATTGTTTTAGGCTGTGACTATTGTTTATTAAACCAACATATCCTCTTAAAGATTAAAGACTTATTTTGATCCTCTGTCAGTGATTCTTCATACAAAATTTATACCCGTTAAGATCTATTGATTTTGATAGAGCTCGATGCCTGTCAGCTTTTCCAAGTAACTGTTTATTTATGTTATTGCAGTTACTAAGCTGGGTCAAATTAAAACTAAGTTTGATTGTTAGATGTGTTGTTAAATTTTTAAAACAAAATAGAATAAGTTTTTTATGTAAAAATTTAATCTGTATATTTAATATAAACCTTACCATTCGTGTTGGTTATGATTGTTTTTTTTTTCTATTTAGTTCTGTTGATTTTTCACTTGAATATAATTTTTTTTATATATTTTAAATTTCTATTTATAGTCTATTTTCCAAAATCGAATAATAAATGAGACATAATATAACAATTTATTTGAAATTTTAATCTTAAATATTAATTGGACGAGGTGCTAGTGGATTGTAGAATTCTATAATTTAATTATCTCTAGGAACCTTTCATGAATTTGTTGGCAGTTGTAGATCAAATCCAAATTATAGCCTTCCTCATTCCTCACCTCATCTCCTTGTTACATTCCATTGCCTTTAGGTTGTCAATTGTTTAAAGTACTTAATGTTTTTTTTTCCAATTGATAATTACTTTAAGATCTCAGAAATATTATATATATATATATATATATATATATATATATATATATATATATATATATATATATATATATATATGTATATATATATGCATACATGTATATGTATGTGTGTGTGATTATAAAGATATAAAGACATTGATATGGTTTTAAAATGATTGTTGGCCTAAGTGTACTTATTATGAAGAAGTTACTTATATATTATTTAATAAATAGAATGCATGTATAATTTGGTAAAGGGGTTTAATATTTAGGAAAATAGCTGTAATGTGTTTTCGTAAAAAGAAATTAAAGCTTTCTTTTTTAATTAAATATTTTTATATAGTGTATAATTTTTTTTTTCTGAATAATAAACAATTTACCAATAATTTGGGCTTTTCTTTATGTCTATTGGGCGTGGTGTGGTTTTTCTATGCTATGGTGTCACTTTTATTTATTTATTTGTTTATTTTTGTGGTGCAGAAGCTTATTGGTCTTTATTTCAGTATATATTTTGTTTGTTTTGTTTAACTCTCGATAAAAAGTACATTATTTATTATGAATATTTTTGGGATGGAATTTTGCATGCATTTTGGTGTGTATATAATTCACATTTAGATTGTAACACTTTAAATTTATTTTAAACCCATCTTTATAAAAATTCCTAATTGGATGAAAATCGTTGAATTAAGTACTGTGATATTTTATTTAGATATTTTAATAATTAACTGCAGGTTATTGTTAATACTTTTTATGAGGTAATTGCTATAATCTTTTCTGAATTATATCAAGGTGAAAATACCTAATTTTTGTATGTTATGTTCAATACCTGCATCTCACCAATGAAGGCGTTTTTGGGATTCTTTTATTATTGGTTTCTATCGAGTTTTATAAAACAGATTTATTCATTGTCATTTCAAAATTGTAATCAGAACATGATTGTTGTTATGGTGTTCAAATCACTTGATTGTAACTTTTACTTGCACGATAGGTTTGGTGGCTAAAAAAAAAATCACATTAATTGAATAGCTGTTGTCTCTACTTTAATTTGATTAATAAATGGAAAACCTATTTTTCTATCAATAAGCTTTGTCACAAAGGTTTGTCTTATTGAATTTCTTTCTTTTTTAGATTGTTTTTATCTTACAAAAATCATATCTGAAATTTTTAGCATGCTATACAAAGGAAGTATTACTTTGCTTACTATTGCAACTCTTACAATCATAATCATTTTGTTTATGTTAAAATACCGAAAACAAAATTTTAAATTAAGGATTGTTTAAAGTTCCTAGTTTATTTTTTTTTTAATTTACTTGTAAAAAACAATTAGGTTTTATTGTCAGTGTGGCACATAATTGTAAATTAAACTATTCACTGAATATTTTCTTTGTTACTTTCTTATCACCCATTACTTGGCCATGCTAATTTTTGGGCTGTATGAATGGTTTCCCTTTTGTAGAGATATGTTACATGCTAAAAAATGTAATAATGACTTTAATTGCACAGGCAAAGACCATTTCTTGTTTTTGTAGCATTTTTAGATGTATTTAAAGTAGTCTCCCCTTAATTTTTTTCTTGAAGGTTATTGTTCTAATGTCCTGCAGGAATCAGACATACTGGCAAGTAAATCTGGGAACACCTCCTAGATTTTTAAACTGCTCTTTCAAATTCTTATCATGAGGAACTGATCTCACCAAGTTAATATTTTCAAAATTAATGATAATAAAAAAATCTTGTTTGTGGGCGCATCATACAAATTTCGCTTACCACCCTACTTTTATTAGAAATAGGTATTTCCAAAAATAGTCAAGTAAAGGTAAAAATCGTTGTATCATATATACAACATAACATATTCATTTAAAACAATTAATTATCATTTGTTTTGTACTCTTGTTTCATCTGTTAAATTTATGCATTTTTCTTCAGTGTCCATTAACTTCTACAGTTGTTTATTTTTTAATATTAATTTTTCTAAAATCTTAATCTTTTCAACTTTTATATTATATATAGTATATAATACTATTTTTATCTTCAGACATTTGTCTTAAACCTTGGATAATAGAATTCTTTTGGAAGAATATTTATCCCTTTTCATTACTTCTAACAATGAGAGAGATTAATTATTTCAAACAAAGTGAATTAAATATAAAAATTAATGTTTCAATAGTATTGTTTACCCTTTTGCTAAAGTTGGTTTTTAACCAACATCTTTTTTTTTTTGCAAAATACCTCCTACCCACGTCATTTCTTGTGTATACTAAGTCTTTATTTTAAGCACTAACTTTATGTATTTTGCAATGAGTAACATATATATATATATATATATCATTACTGTTGGATAATTTCATCATGAGTGTGCTTGGGAGAACTTGGTCATGTCTTGAAGTAATCTCTCAGCATCACTTATTGGCTTTGTTAGCCTTAGTCCTGATCTTATAAGTCCTTTGTTCTCCCTAGGTTTATTAATTTTTTTCATAGTTTATAATTTATCCATTTTTTAAATTAAAGTTACTTTAGAGGAAGCCAATTTGAAAATTAGGCATTTAAATGAGGTCAATACTCCATCTATATATTAAAGGTGAGGTCAATCTTATATTAAAGACCATTCAATGTTGCATTATTGTGATTAATGCTACTAACAATTAATAAGAATTATTTGAACCATTTTGAAGAAAATTGTAAAAATGTGCAAGATCGGTAATATTAGTGATTGACACTTTTGGTAAGTCGATTTTGGTGAAAAAGTTTCTGTATTATCTCAGGCTTATATCTAATTATCTTAAATAAATAATTTCAGTTTCATATAACTTCTCATGTTTGAGCTAGGCTGTTCTCTTATACATAAACAGACTTTAGTTATTTGGTCTCAGGGTTCAAAAAATAAATTTCTTTATTGAAAACTTAGATTCCAAATTTTTCATGATTACTATATTTTCCCATACTAAATCTATAAAATAAAAGTAAAATTGAGCTTAAAATTTGTTGTAAACTGAGCTTTTATCTATATTCAATTTTGTTCTCAGATTGTAAGAGGTATAATAGTTTCGGATATTTAATAAAATGTGAGATAGCAGGTATTGTAATTTTACATATTTATCAGAGACCCACTCGGACAAAAAAAAAAAAAACTTCTCCCTTCTAAATGACAGTCTTTTAACCAATGATTAGATTTTTAGTAAATTATTTCGAGGGTTAAACAGTATTACATTTTTATTCTAAACTGGGTTTAAACATCTTGGGGTTAAAAAATTAGCAGCTTTTATAGCCACAAAAATAAATAAATTCTTGTGATTGTATTGTT